AAGTCCTGACAGTGTGCAAGCCAACCCCGCATTTATTTGACGCTAGCCTAAACAGCGGATCACTATCCTGTATATAGAGGACACTTAAACGACCGCTCTGCAGACGACCACACATCAATCAACTTTGACGCCACTGTCATCGCACGATTAATTTTTCAAGTTGAATTGGCGGAGCTCTTCCCATTAAAAAGGGCAGCAATAAAGTGCGTGTGGTCTTCATGTCATCTGAAAATAAACAAGAAACGTTTCTCTCAGTTTCCCTTAAGTGCAACTTCGTACAGCTGCATACCACCGACTCAGACAGTATTCAAAAATAGACACGTCATGAGGTTTCCGGTTTCATGCTTGGGAATAGTGCTCGCCGGTAATTAAGTTCGGTGAAGTCTGAAATGTAGACAAACGTCTTATCCCTCAGCTTTAAATGACGGGCTCTTACTTAACCCAGCGAAGTTCCGCAGTTGATGTCTACATTTGAACTGCTCTTATTGCGGCTCGGTAAGACACAAGAATGGGGCTCCCCGCCCTCGAAAAATAATTTGTCTTTGTATAAAATTGTAGGCATCGTAGATATTCCCAACTTCTCATGCTTACCTAAAACTCACCCCAATCCCTTGGTTCTAATTGTAACAATTGCCTTAAGGTTACCCCTAAACTTGATCGTAACGCTCCTCTACTTGGAAGTTACTTAAACATCTCGGAATTTTTAGAGTTCCTATTCCGGTATTTGACTAGATTTTTTAATAATTCGGTGATGTATTTTAGCTTTTTCACTTACCCAGACAGGTGTTAGTATATTTGAGAGCAATCTTATTGCGTCTGGTGGTTCACTTTCATACTTTCGTTACACCAAACACACAATTAAGAGGAGGAGAACTCAGACTCCCAAATCTAACATCTAATGAGAAGGTCAAGAAGAGGCGATTAGGCATTGTAAATTTTTTTACACACAATCAATGCCCAATCTCAAAAGGTGTCAACTGAAAAAATTACTTAAGTAGGGTTGAAAGACTGATTATAATGCAGTCTTATGTCAAGATATTTCAGTCACGTCAGGATGCCGGCTTCTCAATCACTTTCTTTCTGACCTTCCCAAAAAATGAGACTCCGCAACAAGGGATTACTCAAGTAGTAGGCTTTATTGACGTTTATTTAAGTTGTGCTTTTAAATTTGGATATATTTAATTTAAAAAAAAAACAGGTAGAAAAATATTCCTCCTTATACTCACTTGGTAGTAAGTTATGTCGCCTGCCTTCTGTATATTTACATTTTAAAAAAACCTTTTCGTTGAGTGTAAGTTATGGAAGCCCCTGATCTTGACATATATGGCCAAATTATGCGATTATTAAGACCATGAAACGTTCTTTCATAATACAGCGTACCCGCTCATTTATCACTGTCGCCTACAAAGTATACAACAGGAGACATATGCATTGCAATAGTTCATGATAACTAGACGACCTCGTCCACGTAGCCTAGACAAAATATGTGATTTTCCTTTGGCAGAATGTATAGAGCATGCAGGTTTGAAACCTTGAGCAAGATTCAGAATAAATCGACACTGCAGTTTCGAAACTGAGAGATACCTTCTCTTCAAGAATAAAATTTGGAAAAGACCTAGGCTGTTACCAAACGAGCAGAAGAAACAATATTTCCGAGAGTATTTTCTGTAAAATATAATTGGGTTTCTGAGGGCATTGAAGTCCAATGGGAAAAGTGAATACTATGAATCAACCATTATTTACAGAATATGCTTTCTGCTGCCAGTCAGAAAGAAGCTCGTTAAAAGTCGGTATCCTGATCTGATCACCGTATTTTGGGATTATGCTGCATAGTAATCAATATTATAACCCTTCTTAGGTAATTTGTTCGAATTTTTCACAATTGGATCAACTGAATTACGCAAATCTGCCAAACCCCCTTACAGTAAAATGAGCCTAAGTGTCGTTCTGGCGGATTTTAGATGCTTGCTTAGGAAATCCTGCAAGGGCAGTCAGCTTAATGTACCGTAATGGCGGATTTCATAGGAACATTAGGTTGGGCGATTAAAATAAACCCAAGTGTGATTAAATTTACGGCTCACGGTGAGCCTCGTAGCTCAATGGTAGAGCGTTGGCTGCGCAAAAGCCTTCCCTGCTGTGTGGGTTCGACTCTCATCGAGACCGTGAGTTTTTCACAGTTGGGTTAACTGGATTTTTTCAAATCGAAAACGCTTTGAATAACGTGGCAACAGGTTGGCAGTGTTAAAGAACAACATATTGCGTGCTGTGTTGACCGAAGCTTGAGCCAAACTCTCTAAGGGCCAAAACTACGGGTCCACTTCGTGTCATCTTTGGACGCGAGCATTTCACCACAAGGTGTCTTTGTCCACTGCTTAATCCTGAGCACAGAACAATATGAATTATTAAGCGTCGTTTTAGAGCTCATGGCAGAGGCAGTCCGTTGGCGACTATCAGGCAATGATTAGACGTTTTCAAGGTCAATGTCATATGATAACATTTGTGGCCTGTTTCTTCCTCCAGCTAGTAATGAATTTATTGCAAATACTGACCAACACGAGGATATCAATATCCAATATGAGAAAGCTGGGATAGTGTGAGGTGGTAAAGTGGGAGCAGCGTTCCCGATAAGCAGTTGCACAGATATATTCCTTAACAATCGCAATCCAAGTTCTTTCCTTGGAATATGAAGAAGCTTTAGAGGACATACGCCATGAACCGCATAATCCGTCCGCTTCTTCTGCTATAAATGTCCTTTCAAGTTGTGACATTTCTGAAACTATATTTAGACTGTGATTTCTTGTAATATTTTTCGTAGTTTGAAAGTTTTTGCGTACGATCGGCGTTTGTAATTGTTGGTTAGCTAAACGCACGTGGGGGACGCGAACTTCTCAGGGCGTCTGAGCACCTGATTATCGGATCCTCGTCTTCATAGTTTCGTAGTTGTGGAATCCTCATTTGGTTACAGAATTTACTTAGGGGTAAGTCAATTGGCAAAAGCAATTCGAAACTGACTGCAAATATGTCATTTGATGCCTGGTAGCCTAAATATCGAGATAATCCTCGAGCACTCTGAAGCATATATTTTACATATTTTAACCTTTTGTGAAGTAACTCTTAGAGCGCAACGTAGCGTAAAACTACAATATTCGACTTAGGTGCAAAACACTATCGGGTCCTTTTTCGCTGTCAGTAAAACAACCAGTACGTTAGAGGAAGAGTTTCCTTCCCACCTTTCCTTCTAGAAAATTCCCTCTAGTAAACATATTATAGATACACATATGTGTGCTAGACTCACCATTGCCCGGCCCATGGGGTAGGAAACAGAGGTCAACTTCTCACAGAACACACGAATATTCGTGTCAATGCGCTCCCATTGGGAGCAGTGTATGCGAAAGAAGTGGAGGGAGTCCGTATCCTTCGTATCACTACCCATCTCTGAGTTATCATCTTGGTCATCAGCATAGGACAACATCGCGGTAAACTGTTGCGCCTGGGCCAGGGTGGGTTGAAAAGAACTGAAGGTGTTCATTGCTGTTGCAACTCGCCCAACATCCTCCCACCTCACAGCGGCTGATGTGACCGTCATATGCGTCGTGGAGAATGGCGAATGCGGCCGTAGCGTGTTATAGAGTTCACTGTTCGAGGCTGCCGGCAGCATACATTTATTCATTGGTATGTCATGCTGTTGATTTT